ACCTGAAGCCGACTACATGGGAGTCCAGCAACATAGCCATTACGCCAACTGCTGGTCCCAAAATGTTTAAGAACATTATATTATTTTTATAGTGGGAAAGAGAAATAACTAGATTAAATTTTTACACCGTATAACATGACTCCAGAAGCGTTTAAAGATAATAGGAATGTGATTTCTCTCGTTTTTAGTACTGTATTTAGGAAAGTGAGCCCAATGGAGTCATTATGTTGTCAAAAAGTGACTTGTAATTGGGCTTTCTTCTTGCATCCCCACCCGCGGATAAACAGCAAAGAAAGGACTATCGACTGTGTTCTCCAAAAGGAAATGTTCCCATGGTTACCTGCATTTTTAGGGAGTGAGAAACGCTGTTCTTTAGGGTTGGTTACTCAAGTGCAAGAGCAAGAGGGCTAAGGGCAGCCTTTGGGCTTTGCTCGTTTTCTGTGTTTGTTCTATAACCTGTCAAGTTATGAACACTCAAGATGTCGTAGCAGGGGCCAGCTCCATAGCCTAGTGGTTAAGGGAGGTGGATCCCACATGGCTGACCAGGGTTTGAATCCCAGCACTGTTGGCTTGAAAAACACACTGGGTTATCACTGGGTATGTGTGTATGCATGCCCCAAATCCCAACAGGATGGAGGAAAAGGCTTTTAGGCTTGATCAAATCCCCTTGAGGGGTGCCTTCTCTGTGTCTCTCTGGTGAGCATGCATGCCCCTGGCAGTTATTACAGTGGAGGGGAAGGGAGGCTTGCCCCACGGTGCGCATGCCCTACCCGCACGCTTCCTTGAACCCGCGCAGCAGCCCTGGTGTAGCGCCGAGGCACAGAGAAGAGAGCGAGCACTCTGCCCAGCGTCAAGCAGCGAGGAAGTGGCAGAGCTGGGTCTGGACTCTTGCCTGTCTGGCCTCAAAGCCTTTGGTTTATCAGAATCCTCGATTGCCTACCTGAGGTTTTGTTTTTGTTTTTGTTTTTTGGGGTTTTTTTTAATATTTTTGCTATAAGGCACATGTGCTTCCCCGGGAGACAGAAAGTGAGAAATCACCCTGCCGGGGGGATGGCCACACTGCAAGCCTTTCTCCATTCTCCTCTCAGGATTTTGGGCACGCGTGCACGTGTGCCCAGTGTGAGTTTAAAGCCGCTGAGTGTGGGACTCAAACCACGGTCAAACTACATGGGAGTCCAGCGACATAACCATTATGCCATCTGCTGGTCCCAAGCTTTTGTTTGTTTGTTTTTGAAGTTCGTTTTTTTTTTCTTCTATGCAAGAGAGAGAAACAGAGTCCCAGGGTCCCAGTCCACCCCAGCTAGCCCTGAATCTTGGGCATGCACATGCCCCAGGCACGTTCCGGGAGGTCCCTGGCCATGACCCAGGACCCTCCGTGTGGGTCAGCCATGCCCAATGGGTGTTTTAGCGCTGCACCACCCCCTGCCCCCGCTTCAGCTCCCCGATCAGAGGGTTAGACAGATGCCTCGTCACAGAGCACAGCTCCCCTCTGATGTGCTGGGTGGAAGCGTTCTTGTTGGATCATTCCATCACTCTCATCCACCCCATTTGGGCTGTCGTCCTGCCACCTTCTAGGGGACTGCTCCTCGGACAGTCAGAAGTGTGAGTTAACGAAGTCCTGTCCATGGAATCCAGTGGGCTCTGGATCAAGTAGAGACCAGAGAGTGAATGAACTGCCCGTTCTGAGCCTTCCTAAGGGCACCACTGAAAATCAGACCTGAGTTTTGCATAGTATCATAAGCATTATGCATAAATATTTTTTGCTTTTATCTGGTTGTTTAGTGTGGTGGCCATCACAGATCACGATAAGAAACAAGTGTTTGCGTAAGTGTTGAATACTCCATCCACGCGGAAGAGCTGCAAATCCAGGCGCATCTGTCACTGAGAGTCACATTTTAGGAAAGAAGTTACTGGGAACTTTTGTTTCTGGGACTTGGTAGCAGAAGAAAGTATTAATTAGGTCATTTAAAGAAGACTTCAGGCTTTAAAGTCCTATAGCCCCGGGACCAGCAGAAGGCATAATGGCTACGTCACTGGACTCCCACGCGGTTCAAGTCCCAGACCTAGAGGCTTAAAACACACTGGGTGCATGTGTGGGTGCACCGAAAATCCCAAGGGGGAATGGAGGAGAAGGGACTGCAGCACGGCCATCCCCCCAGGGAGTGTGATCTCTCACTTGCCGTCTCTCCAGCGAGTGCATGCTCCCTATAGCACAAATCTCTCTTTAAAAAACAAAACAAAACAAAAAACTCTATGATCCCTTAGCTTTTTCCTGCTGCATTTTATTTATTTATAAAGAATTGTTTATTTTACCTTATTTATTTTTTTAAACTTGACATAGCACATGTATGTTCACTGGAGAGAGACAGAAAGGGAGGGAAAATGAGAAGGCAAGCCACTGGGTCTGGGACTCGAACCACTGTCAACCATGTGGAAGTCCAGCACTTTAACCACCATGCCACCTGCTGCCCTCTGCCCCCGCCAGTTTTTAGACTTTGTAGAAGTCCATTTCAAATGAAGTCTCACATTTCTTGTCAAACTTGTGACTTGTCACAGGATCACGGTCTCTCCGGAGAATGGTGTGAGGCTCTTCACAGCTTTACAGCAGAGACCAGCGATGACTTATCCTTCAAGAGGGGAGACCGAGTCCTGATCCTCGAGCGTCTGGACTCCGACTGGTACCGGGGCAGGCTGCACGACAGGGAGGGCATCTTCCCGGCTGTCTTCGTGCGCCCCTGCCCAGGTATGACCCCCCACAGACGTGGCCCTCACTCTGTAAGGGAGTTCAGGGCCGTGACACCCTTTTAGTCGTGCTCATTTTATTTGTCTACCTTTTAAAAAGTTGATTTATAACGTGTACGCACGCTTCATTCACCTACCTTTCTAGAGGTAGAGAACAAGATAAAAAGAAAAATGCCTTCCCGCATTACTGAGTAATGGCTAATTTTGTCTACCTAATATTATTGTGTGTAACTTTATCCTGCTGAGAGGAAAAAGTTCCTTCATCCTCTTGCAAGTTAAATAAGTTTAACGTTCATTGAAGATGGTCTGTTCTAAGACTGACAGGGTTTTTTTAATTTTTTAAAAACTGTTTGTTGTGTGTTTCGGTCCATTGTCTTATGTGTTTGAATTTTTGGTGTTTTCACAGCTGAGGCAAAAAGTACGTCTGTCCTAGCGCTGAAGGGAAGGAAGGCCAAAGCCCTGTATGACTTCCGCGGGGAGAACGAGGATGAGCTCTCCTTCAAGGTCAGGACGCGTGTGCTGCCGAACTGCAGGAAGCACGATCGATGTTCAAGTCTTCCGTGGGAGGGTGGACCATTTGGGTAGAATATTGGTCAGCACCCAAGAATGAAGAGATTCTCAAGCCCTAATTCTCAGGGAAGAGATTAGAGAGAGAGAATGTTCAGTATCAACCAGGCTTTTAGCTCCTTCGAGAAAACCCGGGCTTAATGACCGCAGTCCCCCCAGGAACCCCTTGTCCCTTGGAGCATGTCAGCCCTGGCAGTGTTGGAGCCTCGCTAATAGCCCCAGCGCAGGTGTCTCGGTGCGGCCCGCACAGCCCCCGCTGACATGTAGAGACCATTGGGGACCGCATGGCACCTGCTATAGTCTCGTTGGTGCCTCGTAAGACCCTGGGTCCTCTCCTGCAGAGGCGCTGACCAGAGCTTTGGAAAAAGAATCCTAAGAGGTTGAGCTACTTTGTGAAAATATTTTTTTAAGATGCCTAAATGTTTTTTTCTTGTTCATTTTTGAGAGATTTTTGCTATAGGGCATATGCACTTGCCAGAAAGATAGAAAGTGAGAAATCACCCCCTGGGGAGACGGCCACACTGCGGTCCTTTCTCCTCCATTCTCCTCTCAGGACCTTGGGCACGCACACACACACACCTGGCGTGGGTTTCAAGCCTCCATGTCTGGGACTTGAACCACAGTTGATTATGTGGGAGTCTAACAATGTAACTGTTACACCATCTGCTGGTCCTTAGATGCCTAAAACTTAATCTTACTTCACTGATGAAATGCCTCCTTTTTTTTTTTTTTTTTTTTTGCATAAAATAAACACAGAACATTTCCGTGGTTCTGTGTCACCACTCCGCAGTTGGACAGTGATCACAGGAATACACTCACTATGTATAAATTTTGGGGCCAGAGGGTGGTGTGGGGTTAAGGTGCTGGACCCCCACATCGCAGACTGTAGTTCAAGTCCCAGACCTGCCGACTTGCTTTTTCACTTTCCCTCTCTCTCTGGTGAGTGCACATGCCCTATAGCAAGTTAAAATAACAATAAATAAATTAAAATTATTTTTTAAAAGCATTCCTTTGATCTTTGTGTAAGATATTAGTGCAAATGAAGAATCTGAATTCGAACTCTTTGGCTATCATGCTGGCCTTCTTTTAAGTTATGCCGATGTAGATAACAATCCACAGTACTCTTCAGAGAAAGGTCTTCACTTTATAGATGACAGACTTACAAGTAAGGCAGTCTAGACATTTTCCTTAAAGGACTCTGCACTGGTTCAATGTTCTTAGTCATTACTATTTTATTAAATATCCACAGAATAATTATAGATAAAACTTATTTCAAAAAATAGTCCCAGTCCTTGGGAAACTTGACATAGTGTGTAGATATGGACCAGAGCTAAGAAAGAAGCTCCAGGAAACAGTTATGTTAACAATTTAGGAACCCGAGGAACTTATTTCTAACAGAAACTTTGAAGAGCCAGAATACTTATTTATTATTTTTTCTTTTTGGAGAGTTTTTTGCTACAGGGCACGTGCATTCACCAGAAAACAGCGAGAGACAGAAAGCGAGAAAACATACCCCGGGGGGATGGCCACGCCACAATCCCTTCTCCTCCATTCTCCTCTCGGGATCTTGGGCACGCACGCACATGCACCTGGTGTGAGTTTAAGCCATCGGGTCCGGGACTTGAACCACAGTTGACTACATGGGAGTCCAGCAACATAGCCATGACGCCAACTGCTGGTCCCAAGAAGAGGCAGAATTCTTGCAGATTTTAGCAGAGTAGAATATACTGATGGCGTCTCATAGTCAGCATGTTTCTTTCCATTTTCCTTAACGGAAAACCTTCCATCAGACCACCTCCTGGAGGGCAGCGTGCTAAGGCTACGAGCACATCCCTTTGTCCTGATAAAGACCTCGTCTCAGGGGAGCCCGGTCATCTGGGACTGTTGTGGAATCTTAAATCCAGATTGTCAGAAATGGTTAAAACCCCAGAAGCATGAAACGCTTAGGTCTTTATCTGCTGGAGGAATTACTATTCACACTTGAATAAGATGCACAGCCCCTTTGACTAACCCGATGAGGATAAATCAGTGTTCTGAGGCGGGGGTGGTGCTCTCCAAGATAGGAAAAATGCAAATTTGCTATTGAGGCCGTGGAGGAACGGGAAAAACGAAATGGTAGAAGAGAAATGCCATTACGTGCGAGCATAAATGCAGAGTGCAAAATGCTCAGGATAAAAGGCGATTACAGTAAAAGCCTTCTAAGTAAAGAGGTTCACGTGAAGTGTCATGGTCAGATAGCCTGGTAGTTAGGAATATGCGCCCTGGAATCACCAGGTTTGAGTCCTGGTTCTACCACTAACTAGACACATGACACTCCCAACTTTCTGGGGTTTTTTGTTTCAAATAAAGAAATCTATAAAAAGGTAATTCTAGAATGAGGATTGTACTCGGCCCCAATCCCAAGGGCTGTAGTGTTAAATTCCTGTAAAGCACATAGAACAGGACAAGGGACGCTTTCACCCCTCCAAGTCTCTGCTTAAATGTCAGCTTGGACAGGGCCCCCCCAGTTACCCAGGGAGCCGGCCCCCTTACACGTCCTCCTCCTCTGCCAGCTTGTGTATTTGTCTTCGCGCTTTAGAAAGAGATCTTTGTTCATTGCTGTATCCGGCATGCCCGGGATAGCGTCTGACACATAGTGGGTGCACAAGAAGTTACTGATTTAAAAAATACACGCACACACGTATATATGAGAGGTGCTAGTGTTAGTCATTCAGGAAGGTTTTTTTTTTTTTAAGAATTATTTAATTTTATTGGAACCAGCAGTTAGCGTAATGGCTATGTCGCTGGACTCCCACGTAGTCGACCGTGGTTCGCGTCCCAGACCCGGTGGCTTAAAACTCACGCCAGGCACGTGTGCGTGCATGCCCAAGATCCCGAGAGGAGAATGGAGGAGAAGGGATTGCAGCGTGGCCATCTCCCCTGGGGGGTGATTTCTCGCTTTCTGTCTCTCTGTCTCTCTCTGTCTGTCTGGCGAGCGCACGCACCCTATAGCAAAAATCTCTCCAAAAAAAAAATATTATTTAATTTTATTTTACTATCATTATTTTTTGAATTTGGTAGAGGGCACATGTGCTCACCAGAGAGCAAAGAGAGAGGGAAAGTAAGAAAGCAAGCTGACAGATCAGGGACTCAAACTGCAGTCGGCCATGTGGGAGTCCAGCGCCCTAACCACTGCCCCAGCCACTGGCCCCTCAAGAAGGTTTTTACAAAATATACTTGGGAAAATAAAGTGCAGCAAATCTGACAGTGGCAAACAAATGAACTTCGAGAAGAGGCACACAGGCATTGTTAGATAGAGATCATTTAAATTTTTTTAAGAGAATTTTTTGCTATAGGGCACGTGCACTTGCCGGAAAGACAGAGACTGAGAGACAGAAAGTGAAAAATTCCCTCCCCAGGGCGGGGATGGCCACACGGCAATCCCTTCTCCTCCATTCTCCTCTCAGGATTTTGGTGTGAGCACACACACACCTGGCATGAGTTGTAAGCCTCCAGGTCCGGGACTCGAACCACAGTTGAATATGTGGGAGTCCAGCGGTGTAGCCATTATGCCACCTGCTGGTTCCAGATAGAGGTCATCTTGGTGGTGTATCGGTTAATCCCCTTTGCAGTCGAGATGAGTGAGTTACAGCGAGAAGATCGTTCATGCCACTCCAGGTAGGCTGCTCTCTGTGCCTAGATGCAACAGTGACCGATGGTGATTTCTCATCCCTGTCATCTTACAGGCTGGGGATGTCTTATCAGAGCTGGAGTCTGTGGATGATGACTGGATGAGGGGGCAGCTGATGGGAAGATCTGGAATATTTCCCAGAAACTACATTCAGTGTCTCCAGGTCAGCTAAGAGTGAAGCTCGACTGTGTTCGTCGGCACAAGAACTCACTTGAAGTATCACTTTGACTATCAGATATGTTTTTGCACTATTTTTATAAACTGAGAAATATCCAAGCTGGACATGGTACACGAGACGTGTCTGGAAGCAGCAGGTGTCTAGATCGTGTCATTAGCATTCTTTCACAGTAAACCGTGACATGAGCTGGGATTTTAGCCGGAGAACAGCCAGCAGGTCCACGTCCCCCAGGGCATGTGCCGACGTGGCAGGGCCTGGAGGCTGCGGACCCAAAGCTGCACGTGGATGTCTTTGTTAATCAGCACAAGCAAACTAACCAAGCTTCTTTATTTCTTACTCTTAAAAAGAGGACGTTTGACACTCACGTGCTATAACTGTCAGGACATGGGTGGTCACCTAAATTTCCTTTTCGATATTCAAATGAATTCCGACAGCTCGTGTGCACTCGCCTCCTGCCAGGGCAAACCTTGCTCAGGGGGACAGTTTACTGCCTAGCCAGAGCGTCAGTAAGCACCTGGCGAAATCCACTACGCTCACAGATCTTCCTCCTGTTACTCTGAGTCTTTCCCATTTGTCTGAGGATTTGAAGGGGGTCAGTTTTTTTGTTTTGTTTTTTTGGTGGCTTTTTTTTTTTTTTTTGCTATAGGGCATGTGTGCTCACCAGAGAAACAGAGAGAGAGAGAGAGAAAGCGAGAAATCACCCTCCAGAGGGGATGACCATGCTGCAATCCCTTCTCCTCCATTCTCCTCTCGAGATCTTGGGCACACACGCACACGCGCCCAGTGTGAGTTTAAGCCACCGGGTCCAGGACTCGAACCACAGCCTACTACATGGGAGTCCAGCGACATAGCCATTGCTCTAACTGCTGGTCCCCTGGGGGGTCATTTCTGCTAGCTCTCCCATAGTGAGAAAAGCCACAACTGTCCCTGTAAGGCCTTGCTAATACAACTAACCCTTCTACCTACATGGCACACTCACTCCTTCCCTCACCGTGTACTTTACGTTAACAGGGTTATTACAGAGCGCATTTTCTGAATCTGCAGTCACTCCTTTGGCAATTACTGGGACCCAAAGGAAAATTCATTTTCTCTGCATTACCCCAGTAATATATAAAAGCTGTGTCTCATTACAGTAGCACATTATGAGTGACATAGAATATCTTAGGATATGCAGAACTGCTAAGATGGAAAACAATGCCAGACCCCCAGCTCATTTCCTCGCCATATCATCAGGATGAAAAATAATTTTAGAGGACTGAAGAAGGCTGGTACTTTATTTTTGTTCCCCAGCTCCTCTCTGCACAAATATTATAGTAAGTTTTAGTAAAATACTAAAAAAAAAACTGCTTCCCTGCTATCCATTGTAACACATTCCAAGCTTAAGATAAAAGTGATTCTTTACGGGACTGAATCAATTACAGTTTATGGGCTGAAGCCAAATAGGTTGAAGACAATCTTCCAAACAGATCAATGGAACAGAATTTCATTGGGATTATAAAACACTCTCCCAACAATGCTCACAAGTTTCTTCTGTTTTTGAGAAGAGTTGCATATGCTGGACCAGTTTTTTAACATTTTTTTCCTCCCCATTGTTTGCCAAGTCAGGTGGCCAGTGGCCACACCTTCCCGTGCCACCTGCAGTTCAGTACAAAGGCGAGTGTTTACCTTGCCCTGAATGACTTCAAGTTCAGGCTCCTGGTTACGTTTGATTTTGGAATAGGGGAGCTGAGCTGGGTTTTTCCTACATGCTTAAGGTAAAGGAAACCACGAAGCAAATTCTCATCCAGTTTCACTCCAAAGTCATTTCATGAGTGATGGATGATTGAAAGCATTGAAAGTAAGTTCCCATTTGCAGCACGCTGTACAGCGTCGGGGGGACGGGTAAGAATGGACATGAGGGCCGTATCTCTGTCTGTGCAATCTCTACATCTTTTGTTGAAGATTCTGAAAGCTTGTCTTTGTTGGAGAAAAATATCCCCTCCTAAATTTTGGCCTTCCGTCAGCAGAATGATAAGTGCAATAGTTGTAAATCTACTTGACATTATAATAAACTGAACGAACTTTTCCAAGTTCCTTTCTCATACTAGACTGGGTTTTTTAAGAATGGAAATGGTATCTTACTTATCTTTATGTCTCCAATCCTTGGCACCCACCCACTCACCCTCCACCCACCCATCCTTAATACGGGTGGGTGGGTGGGTAGGTGGATGGATGAATGGATAGATAGATGGATGGGTGGATGGATGGATGGATAGATGAATGGGTGGGTGGGTAGATGGATGGATGGATAGATAGATGAATGGGTGGGTGGGTAGGTGGATGGATGGGTGGGTGGGTGGATGGATGGATGGATGGATAGATGAATGGGTGGGTGG